CAGAACATTGGCAGAAATGGATATTAAATCAACACCTATCGACACCAAGGGCTTTCAGGAACTTGTTAAATTGGTACACTTGTTATATCATTTCCCTAATTTCTCTAAAAGCTTTCCTTCGTTTTTTTACACCATTAGCCACAGTGCAACATGCGCTCTTATTTAACAAATTGAAATATACTTGCAGAAGGAGACCATGATAGGAAATAGTTTTGATTTGTTCAGTGGATTATTCGTGTATAACAGATTCGCCAGACAGGAGGTATGGAACTGCTAGCGAAATGCTTAAACATATATCAAGATTTATTTTTAAATCTTTATTAACTACTAACCAAGGACTTCAAGATAGACTAACGGACTGCCAAAATTATGCAGCTGGAAAACCTTGAACATGCCTTGCAAAAAGTCAAAGAAACGCTGGTTGAAAGGATGAACGAGGAGAAGGGTCAAGAAAAGAACTGATGTTATGCATAATTTTATATGAGATATATTCTCGAACAATCAAGTTTCCTCTTGTTCCAGTCATAAATTATTCCCATTTCAGTTTTACAGTTACCAAAATGAAGTCAACTAATAAACCAAATACACTTGCATATGTTCAATCTTGCTATAAAAATATGGGATGATCTTGTTCCCAGTATACACTGTGATTTCATGAAGCTAAAACACAGATATTTAGTCCTCAATGTCACCATTTAACTCAAGTGTGTTTCATTTTATCAACTTCAACTCCCTTAATTTTAAGCCAGATCTTCACTACCACTTCCTTTCCAAATAAACAAATTAGAACATTCTCTGGGGTCTTGACATGAGCTTTTTGGCTTTCTAATCAACCTATCCGCAGAGTATGTATTCCTTGACGTACAGAAATAATCTAAGCCAAAGGTTACTGCAAAGATATCGAAAGTTCACTGACCCTTGATAAATTGATAGTCTAAAGGTGTACAAACGTCAAACTCCATGAGAGTTCAAAACAAGTGCTCCTGAATTTTTATCCCATATTAACAAGACTTAACAAGACATATAAATACCTTTAGCAAAGAGTAGGTAACAACTTGTGTTGGTTTCGATTTGAGTCCCTTCTATCTATTCCACTTGTTACATTTATGAAGAAAAATTTTATATTCACCAAACTATGAAATGGGAAACATCAAAACGTATACAAGTGAGCTGTCGAAGGAATTGTAAGAAGCTAATCAGCAAGAGACAGAAAGAGATTATGATGAAAACAATAACCTATTCCTCTGTGCCTGTATTACCAGCTTTTCAAGAATAATACAAATTACCACGAAAAAAATGTCGCAACGTATCGTCACCACTTTTATTTTTCTATCTCATCAATGGTGGCTTCTTCTGCTTCGTTGCATAAAATTGCAGCACTATTCGGAGAATCTGATGTTGGCGACTCTGTCTTTCTAACTTGCAGGCCAGTAAAGCGCGCTAGGTCAATCCATTGCTGCAGCAATTCATGAAAACATCAAATTTGAAAACTCCAGTACAAATTTAGAAATTGATGTACAGATAAATATATCACATAAAAATGAATTATAAAGAATTATACTCCACTAATTTAAAACTACTAGATATATTAGATTATTAAATATTTTAGATAAATATCTTATTTTTAATTTTTATCTTTAATATTATTTCTTATTTATATGTTGAACTTAGTCTATATTTCTTTTATTATAAATAGAATATATTTAATATAAGGAATATTAATCTCATGTATAGTTTTTAATGTATTGAACAAAAGCTAATGGTACTCTCGAGGTTTTAGTCAGTTCAAATTATGGCACTTCAGAAAACCAAAGATGTCATTGTCTTTTCTTTTTTTCTTTTTCTGTATTTTGGTGTTTCACTAACTATAGTCAAAGAGCAATATTGGTCATTCACTAACTTTAGAAAACAAACGACTTATATTCCGTGAAATTAAGAATATTTAATGACTTTATAAATATTACTAAAATTTAGGAAGTCTAGTTTTCAATCATAAATAATTGAAATCCGCTAAAAGACGAGGTTGGGAACATTCAGCATTTGAAAGTGAACAAAAGCAGATTAAAGATAGGAAAACAGACTGACCTGGGTTCCCCAATAGGAATTGACAGTCCGTGCTACAAAAGAAAGCATATTTACAAAGAATGTCTGGGAAGCAAACTGTTCAGAAATCCGATGCTCCACTATCCCAGCAATTATCTGCCAAAAAAATATTGTAATTTCCGTACTAATGCAGAACAGATTAGAATTTAAATGGATACGTATATATAGAATATATAATATAACAAGGATGTAGTCTCAGATGAATTAGAGAAAATTACAAAATCATATATATATATATATATATATATATATATATATATATATATATGGGTATTTAGTAATATAGTACTTGGTTGGAAAATAATGGAGGGGAAGGAAGGCAAAGATTTTATAATACTTTCTTTTTTTGGTTTAAAGATTTGGATGAATAGAGAGGAGAATAAAGGGGAGGCAAAATCCTCATCCATATACAGAGAATTTGGAGAGAGGAGAAAGTTTTACACTAATTGGAGTAACTATCTTTCATTTTCTACAGACACTGGGTTCAATCTTGCATTTGTCACATATCAATAATAACCAAAATTTTATACAGCAGACATGTCCACTACATACCTGATAACGGAGATTTGCAGAAATTCCAAGAAAGCAAGCATATATGACAGCTGTTTTCAGTATTGGTGACCTTATAACCCGTTGCTCAGTGACAATGGCTGGATTAAGGAATTTACGGATTCCATATAGAGAATTTGATGAAGCCACGGCTCCAATGCTTGAAATAAATCCAACACTAGCAAGTTTTAGCCCACCAAATACAACTGATGCAATTCTATGATTGAGATTCCAGTTTGTTCCTGCAAGATTCTTTTGAAATGCATTGTCCGGGATGGAACCTAGAAGTCCCATTAGAGAACCAATGTTGTCAGGGGCTTTCATCTCATCAGCATATGAAAGGAATGACAAAGTTGGTGCAGGGAGCCACACTGTAAAAAAATCAACTACTGATCCTCTGATAGTGTCTGTAATAACGTAGTCAAGCTCTTGGAAAAAATTATCTTTCCGCTTTTCATATTGCGCCAACAATGTAGTTGTTATTGATATGGCTTCTTCTATGGCTAATCTGTGCAAGAATTTGGGATCTGCCAACAATCTTTCCCTGAAACCCTATATAAAGAAGAACCGGATAAAAGGTAGGAAAAGGCAACAAAGTGATGAATTTTCTCATGATTAAAAGCAGAGTATTTTTCAAATAAAAAATTTACCCCGAAACGGTGAGTGAGTTCTGAAATCAGAGGATACTGCTCTAGATCAAAGAAGTTCTGCAAAACCTCTGGAGATACTAAACCAAGATCAATTCCCTTTTGAAGATCCTGAAATCAAAATGAAAATACAACCCATGTTCACAATGACAACCAATATTCGCATACCCTATTTAAAGTTAAATCACAGAAAAGTAAACAGAAGCATAGAAAAAAGAACTGCAAGTAGTAGCACACCAGCAATCAAAGAATCAAACGCAAGTATGCAATTAATGCAATTTTAGTATCATCAGTGACCGTTCAATTATTCTCCCAAAAACCTTGGAACCCATGTATGCCAAGCTATAGACCAGGGTTACTTTATTTTAAGGGAAAGAAAACAGAAATAACAACTTCATTATCACAATTAACCCATTGGAAAAGTTTTGAAGTCGTTAAATCATCGTATATTGTTGCGCAAAGAATCTAACCTCAAAAGGAATATGAATTTAATGGAAAAGTAAGATAGCACAGAGAAAGCGCTACAAAATGGTGAACATTAAATTGAAATCCCCCGCACAGTTGGTTAAATTGAAACAATGCAAAACACAGATATCAATTAAAGGGATGAGGACCCTTTGTTTAATCTCTTCAAAAAAATTGTTTTTTGTATATTTCATATAAAGTTGAAACTATTTTATTTGGCAACAACAATTATAAAATATACTTTCATTATAAAAAGTAATTATAATTTGACTTTTTTTCAGCTCCTACTCAAAGTAGCTTCTTAAAATCATTAGATATGTTTAGAAGTAATTTTCATGGAAAAATTTGAAGCAAATGGGCTCTAAAATGCTCATCAAATACCAAAGTTATATTACATACAAAAAATAAAATAAAATTTAACAGTTATAGTAACCGCAAAATCTCTTGTTTGTATCACCTAAATGGACAATGAGAGAAAATAAAGGGCTAAAACTAGGAAGGAGGATATACAGAGCAAGAAAAGTAATAATCAAGCAAACTAGTGACGGTAAATGCTCACTAACCTGTGGTAGGGCATCTCGCCTCCGCCCAGCAGCATTCATTACGCGAGCAATCTCAGCACGATCAAAGCAATTTCTACTACAGGGTCTGGCAGCAGAATACCACAAAAAATCAGCCACGGGAACTTCTCCTTCTCTGCGAATGAATTGTCTTTCAGGGTCAAGTAATATAACTACTTGGTTTTTCTTTTGTATTTTTCCTGAAATTCTAGCTGGCACTCCAGTTCCTCTAGATCCATACGTAACATGGCTTGCACCAGTCACAACAATTAACATACCAGTGGACCCTCCATCAACCACATTTTGTAAGATAACCTGGGACATAGAATACTCATCAACTACTTTAGCCTGGGCAGAAAGGTATGAGCTCGGACCAAAAGGAATGGACAGATTTTGAGTACTATCGACTGAAGGTCTACGTGAGATAGAAGTAAAGCCTGATACAAAGCCCGACCCAGCTGGAGGAGCATAAAGTTTACGTTCAGCCTTCGTAAGCCCACGAATTCCTTCTGCTTGGACAGTTCTTAAGATCTGTTGATGACAAAAATGATCAAAACCATAATTATCATCTTTATGAGTCTTGAGTCTAGACCTAGCAATATAAGAAATGACCCTAATCCTACAGGGTGGAGTTAATTAGACGAATCAATTGAAACCTTTCCGCTCTATCAAAAACCAAATTTTAAGTAAAACATCTAATGAAAAATCGATTTAATGCTCCTAAAGTTTTCTCAGGTCGTCCCCTACCATTTCAACCTATTAGCTTCCCTTAATGACCAAACTATCTGAGGAATAATCGTATCATTTTTCTAAAATAAAGTGTTTATTTGACCTTTTGTTTAATATGGGAACCTTGAACAGTAGGAGCTTTTCAGGGCTTGTATTTTATACATCAAATATTTGTTGTCCTAATACAATTAAAATCGTTACAGCTTCCATTTACTAAATATCTGCTCCTACCTTTTTTCAACTTGTTGTAGATCAATTTGACAAGCACTTTGATTATCTAACATTTGCCAATTTCTCCTAATTAGCCACAACCATAATTTTCAGAGACAAAATAAATATTTGAAAGATTATCATGAGTTTGGAAAAAAAAAATTTGACGTACCTTCAGCGGAGTACCACAAGCGACTACACGGATTCCATTTTCACGACAGTAGCTCAGAATAGGTTCATACTCCTGCCATCTTTGAGGTGGCCAATGCAACGTATAAGACTTCAAGGTGTCTCCATCTATCCTGCATTGAAAGTCGAGTTTTAGTACAAACAATGCAGAATCACGGAAAGCAGTCTGACTAAGACAAAAGAAGCAGAGATTAACAGAAATATAGTGAGCCAGGAAATAGAGAGGCGGACAGAAATCTTTAACCAACAAAAAGTACTTTTCAATAATTAACAACAGTGGAAAATTTCTTAATTCAGGTAACAAGACATTCTGAAAAGAAAGTAGGAGCATAGCAAACATCACTAATGTAACAATTTTTAAAGTCAACATGCCATAGGAGCATACCATACATCTAATTCCATGGACTAATATTCACTTTAACAGGAAATCATTCAGAATCACACAACTAGAAGATTCTTCCTCAAGCCAACAATTGTAATAATAACAACAAAGCACCCCCAATTTACATGTTCGTAATCAACTCCATGCTGTTTGCTCAACTCAATATCTCTTTTATTTAACTTCTTCCAAAAGAATGGAACACACGAGTTGATTTCAGCTCAGAAGACAAATTAATTCATTTTGTCTTCTTATTTTCTGATCCTATAACTACTCATTGAAAAGTTAATCCACACAGGAATCACGCAAGAATCTAAACATTAATCACAAATTCAAAGGCACTATTACTTCTTGTCCATATACTGATTGAGCGGTTCCTGAAGATTAGAGGGAAAAGCTTCCAGCGCAAGAGACAGTTTTTTTTCCTTTTCCGAACAGCGCCTATTCAAATTCTTCACAATCTCAAGCTCCAATTCCCTATCGTCTCGAACCGGAACCTGTTCCGCTTCCCCCAAATAAACCACTCGCGCATTCATCAACTTCTCCCACACCTTCCCTTTCTCTTTCCCTATCGCCAACGGTTCCCCTATCACCGCCGCGTCGTAAATCCTCGACGTTATCACTTCCTCCTCCTCCTTTTTCGCCTCCTCCAGCTTAGGTGCTGTCGGAGCCAATTCCGCCGGCTTCTCCTCCGCCCTCGACGCCGACGATAACAGAACCGACGCGCCGGCAGCCAGGAACGGTGCCATCAGCACGCCGCGCCGGCTGCTCCGAGGTTGACTATAATCGCCACCGGAGCCACCCGGATTCGAAGCCGCGGCGACGCATGTGGAGTGGCGGACGGACAGGTTGACGCGGCGGCGTTTCGCAGTCCAGATGCGACGGAATTCATCGGCGGCGGCGGCACGAAGAGATTCCGCCGGGGCGTCACGTGAGGAAGCGGTGGCGCGAAAGAAAGGCACGTGCGGGAGTGGAGTGGCGAAAGAAGAAGCCTGAGTGTGTGGCTTCATTTGCCTTCAGTTGTGGCCTTCTCACCAACCGCAAGGTTTAAACTTTGTCACTTCCCCTTTTCTTTCTGCCACCACACAACAAAAGGATTCGTTTATTTTCAGCCTTTCAAGATTGCATGCATAATCATTAGTATTCTTATTTATTTCGGAAAAACTATTTTTTTAAATATAAGTTTTGCAAATTTTACCCTTTATATATTTGTTTCCCCTCATAAAAATTATAGGTTTGAAAAATGAAAATTAGTGAAACTATCAAAATCTAAGAAAACAGTGGAATATACTTTTTATTTTATGTCTAAAATTGAGTTCGTAATTTAGGTGGTGGCAATAAATTGAAGTAATATTATTTGATTTTATAATTGAGATTGTGACGTAAACTATAAATAGAAAGGGTGAGATTTGAATGTCTACGTGAAGCATCGGTGTCCATACGTGAAAATTGGAGTTATCCGTTTCCAAATACCAATCTTCCATTGTTTTGGAATTTTGTTTGAAGATAAAATTATCAGAGTCAGATGTTTCTCAGCTCAATTCTCAAATGGTGGCTGAAAACAATACTTCAAAAGTTTAAACCCAGGTGACGTCTCATTGTATGGATTTATATTTAATATTGCCAAATAATAAGGGGCAGAAATCAAAATAAAAATGCAAATTCCAATTACACGTTTGAAAGTTAGAACAAACTCCTTCTTCATAATTATGATTTAGTAATCACTTAATCACATTCCTCAATTTTTCGTCCATGTCATTAACAGTTTTTAAATTCAACCAAATTTCAAAAGAAAATCAAAATATATAAAGATAAATACACATAATTATCAGTATTATCATCTATTTTAAAAAATAAAAAGTATAATATGCAATGTCTTTGTCGGTGAATTCTGTGTCATTTTATAAAAAAGGTTAAATTGTAAAATTGAAGATGAAAATATGAAATAAATTGTTAAAGTCAATGTTTAAAATCCAAAATTCGTATCGAAGTAGGATCCGATAAATTTAAACAGTAGGGTTTGTATTCTTTATTTCCTAAAGTTTATTATCAACCTCTTCAACTTTCAACACTCATACAATATAGTTGGATTCATCTTTCTTAATCATCCTGGTTTTCATATGGTTAAGGTTATTGGAGTCTTTGTTTAAATAACTTATGTAAGCTGACAAAGTTACAAACCCGTATATTAAGTTTAGGACATCCCTAGTTGAAGACATCACATGTTTGAATTTTTTTCTATATAAAAACAATATTGATTTACAAAACTTATATTATTTGAGATTTTCTATACTGTTGGTAGAAAAAAACTAATAGAATTATCAATTTAGCCTATTGACGTAAATTTTATAAGAGGTTTTAATAAACTTGATTTTATATTTATATAAGAAAATTATTTAGCAAAATCCTGAACTAATTAAATATATTTAACTTTTTTATTAACTAAATATATTTTTAAAGTAGATAAGATATTTATTTAATTTTATTGTACAAAAAATTTATTTAAATCTGGATCAAAGTTAAGTAAAACATTTCAATTTAAAAGTTTAAAATAATAAATTTATCAATAATAAGTTTATAGATTTTTTTATTATGTTATTTTTTTTAATGTTATGACTTAAATTTATACTTAAATTCTATCTATTATTTATTTCTCTTTAATAATATATATATATATATATATAATATTTAGTAATTATAGAAAAATTTTAGTATCAACTTTATTATAATTAATCTAATATTCTTATATTTTGGTTAGATTTCATTTTTTTTTTTCGTTTTTAAGTCTTTATAACAATATATTACGCACTGTTTTATTAAATGTTATAAAAAAAATTCCATGAAATTGATAAAATTAATAAATATATTATAGTCAATAATTTTATTAAACTATGTATTTTTTGTTTTATTTAATAACATAATAATAAGTATGATATAAAAATATTGATTTAAATATAATAAATTTAAACATATTATATTATTTAATAAAATATAATTTTATATGTGTATATTGTTTTTAAAAGTTAATTAGTATTGAGAAAAAATTTAGGATTGGAACTTTTTTTGATCCAATTTAAAAGAGTTTTCTGTAAGAAAATTTTTTCAATAATCATGAATCATGAATCAAGTTAACAACTCTGTTATACAACTCTTTGATTCCTGAAAAAAAAAATTCTTATTAGAAAAAATATGAGTTATAATGAAACATGTTTAGTTAAAAACCAAATTGTGAGAATTTTTGTCTACATTCAAATCCCTATCAAAGTAGTCTACATCACACATTACATAAATGAATTATATTGTTGAAACGCATAACTCTCTTTATATATACTGTGTATTTTCATTCTTACTCATCATTTAGTTTTACTTAATTAGTATTTTGATTATTACATTTGGACTTTTAATATGTTTTGGTTTTTATATAATTAAATTTCAATATTTATTAAATATAATTAATGTGGCATTTTTCATTAAATTGATATTAATGTCATTTGAAAGATAATAATGTATTAGTCCAACAAAAGTACTTAACTAGTAATTTGGTTTCATTATTTTTCTTCAGACTCAATTGAGATGGAGAAAATATGATTCATTTTCCATCTGTATTGTCTTTCATGTATTTTGGAAACAAATCCAAAATGCATAATTTGATTTATGTGTCTATCTTTTTTACAATGTAATAAACAAAAATAAAGATATTAGATTTGAAAGAGACCTCTTGAATATGAGAGAAACAATCTCACTGAGATTGTATAACTAAAGAAAAAAGAATTAGAGAAAAAAGATGAAATCAATTGAATAAAAATGTTTAAAAACAAAAATAATCATGTAACGAAATATAGAGACTAAATTACTTATTAAGTATTTTATTAGAGTGACATGGGATTACATTTGAAATTACGTTAATTTAACGAAAAAAAATAATTTTATTTAATAAATATTGTGACTCAATTGAGTAAAAAACAAAAAACAAAACAAATTAAAAATCTAAATCACTGACTAAGCTTTTTTATTTTTTTCATATGAAGTCATCAAAAAATATATTGTAGGTATGTTCAGAAAATCTTAATTCATGGATTTTTCTATTTAACGAGTCACAGTTAACACAATATCGTAAAAATAGTATTTAAAAAGGTAAAAATATAATATATACTATGAGATAATTGATGAACAAGTCGTTGTAATTCACCGAAGAAGACTATCATCTAAAATTCCTCTTATTTGAGATTAAATACTCGTATTAGAATATAGGGATAACAAGATCAACATGTTGAGTTTATTTAGATTCTGCATTCTTCTTGCAATAAAAAAACATGAGAACACAACAAAAAAATCTATCTCATGGAAGAAAATAGGCTTTTGGAAACTATAAATAAATGTGTGACAATAAAAGTCAGAAATTATTTTGAATAGTAATAAACTATATCACAATGGTTGACCATTTTGAGTTTTATTTACAGCATTTTTTTTAACATATTGCTTTGATTTATTTATACCGTAAGTTCTTCCTATAACATTCATTCCATAGGCCTCTTTGTAATTGATACATCCTGCTATATAAATACACATTATTATACACAAAAGATACTACACAAATATACATTATTATGTATTTTCAGAGTTACCCACTTAATAGATACAAACTAATACACTTCAAACTACATATATACATAATGATAATTGTAAATGTTCAATAAACATAACTTCTTTTAATCACATTTTGCTCAACCTATGTATAACTACAGTCTTTATCTCTCGTATGTTGTTTTAATCTTAATTTTGTTACCCAAAAATTTGGCACTGCTTATTTTTATTTTACTAGTATCTTTTATAATAATTATTCCAGCCTCATTAAGAACTTCTTGACAATTATATATTCAAAGATATTTTTTAGCATAATTATAATTTCATCAAAATACATTTTCTACCCACGAGTTAATATGTAGCCTATTGTTTTATTTCATGATTTATTACCACCTTTTGTAAAAGCTGAACCAATCAGAATATAGATTAAATTTAATTAAAGAAGTTTTAATATAAAATAAGATGATTCGAGGGTAAATAAAATCGATCAAGTCCAATACACAAACAATCTCACATTGAGTGTTGGTATATAGGAAGAATGTTATTGTTAGGCCTTGGATGCTAACCATTACCTTGATCAATAATCTCAACATAACCAATCTCAGAAAACGAGATTCGGTCACTGTTTGGTCAGAATTTTGCTGTGAGTGCAACATTTCTATATATCGCACTACGGTATTTCTATTTCTGGTCCAGAATTTCAAAAAAAGTTTCCGGGAGAAACTAAACAAAAAGTAGCTAGCGATCAAACTCCAACAAATAAGATACATAAGGAAGGTCGTCTCGAATAGCTTCATTCTAGTACAATTTAAGCAATTGGTATACAAAGTATGAATTTTCAATTATTTGTCACCTATTAAAAACTTTTGCCAATATGCGAATAGCTCCCTAATTAAAAAAAAAAATGCCTCATGATTGATCCGAACAACAGGAAAAGGCCAGCTCACTTGATGTCATGAAAAGATGGCAAGACAGCAATAAGGGGGTCTCCGTAACCAACAGGCTCTGTAAATCACAAATAAAAACGTTAAGAAATTCATCACAGCTATGGATGAGTGTAAGTAGCAAAGATAATTGGGTTGTGCATTGACAATTATCTCTAAATATTGCAAAACAACGGACTAGGCCATCAATAAATCACAAAAAGCCATACATAGGAGAAATGAAGACCGTCCAGAGCTAAACAACGTTTTTCCATTCGCTCAGTAGTCAACACTAACTAGACAACATACAAAACTAACAGCACAACTAGCTATACATTGTAAATGACAATGAATTAAAGTAAACTATCAGGAACATCCCTGGGACTGATAGAAAAATTATACAAGATTCGAGATTTCCATAGTTTGGATCCTAGATTCTGATAGCTTGACAAAACATTTTCTATTTTCATTTCTTCCAATCACTAATAATTATAAGAGTGTCACATGATTTTTCACTTTATTTCTGTTTTAAGATATCTTTTAAATTATTAGAGAAAACAATAACTGAAAGCAAAAAATTGTTTTTAAACTCTAATAAGCCTAGATACTCAATACGACCCACATTCGGCGTACACAGGAAATTCCTAAAATTCAAGATACAATGCAGCTTGGATACATTAAGACAAAGACACACAACAGAGACATATATACACTCATAATATTTGTTAACAGCCATTTATTTTTTTGCACTAATTGTATATATGATCATAACAAAAACAACATAGTTAAGTATGTTTCGAATAATCATATCAGAATATAATATTTTCCCTGGAATATGCTAGAAACAGAAACATTTGTCCAACTCTATTGGCTCTCTGTGATTACCCAGTACTATTTACAGTAGATTCGACGATATATAGGAAAAGATAAAGTTCCCAGTAAGTCCGGTCAATAAATATGGAAATAAAAAATATGGAGGACATCCTTTGCATAAGTATAGTACAACATACATTCTCTTCATTTTTGGAGTATCAAGGTTTCGTCGGTCAATCTAAACAAATCAAGCCTAACATTGCCATGTTTTAGTGTGATAAAAGCATGGCAGTCATAAAGCGATTGGGCATTCATTATACTATTGTATCATACCAAAGGTGGAAACGGGTGAGATCAGATCAGTTCAGACATTTTTTGTACTTGAGCTTGACCTATATCATTATTATTATTAAGTTCAAGTTCGGCCTATTTATTCATTATAAGTCTTAGACTAGCCTGTTCAGAAGTCTGGTCTGGCCTCCAGACCTTTTTACATGACTAAACAAGTCAATAAACCTAACTAGATCATCAAGCCTAAAATTGTTCATGACAAATTATTATTTTTTATGATAATTATTTTACAAATTATACCAATATTAAATTACAAACAAATAATAGGGTCAAACTATATGGACCTGATTCACATAGATTTGTCTCTTTTATTTTACCTTATTTTAACTTCTGTAATTTTATTCTTTCTTCTCTTGTAGCATATCTATACCTATATATAACGGTATACCCCCATTTAGAAGACATATTTATGTTTCTATTTTGTCATGAATTATATTTTAAAATTTAAATATCTTAAACCTCAACTATTATTTTGTTACCTATACAACTGTAAAGAAAAAGAAAAACAGTGGAGATAAACTACTCATCCACTTTAAATAAGAAGTACACAACACTATTACTCCACACAATACAATTATGCTTTTTTTTCCTGTCACGCAAATCAACAATATGTATTGTTTCGTCAACCTTGTTTACATTAGAATTATTAATTATACATAAAATATAAAACATAATATATAAAATTAAAATTAATATAAATAATAAAGTTTAACTAATTAAAAAAATGCAAACACACATGCACTATTGCATTTATGTTTCCGCTAGCAACTATAATATTTATATTGAATAAACTAGTCATTTTATTATTATTTAAAAGTAGAGGTGTAAATACGAACCAATGATTTTTAAAAGAAAAAAAAAACTTTTTTTTGTTGAGCTTGTTATTAATATTAATAATTATATATTTAAACAATGTGTTATATATAAAATTATTATGTAAACAGGCCAGCCTGGTAGGTTTCTTTTAAAGCCTAAAAGCTTAGGCTAGGTCTTTGACAAAGCATGTCAAAGGCCCCTTACTAGTTGCCTAGCCTATCTTCATCCCTACATATGAGTTGGACAAACTTCTCCATAAACATTTCTACAAAGAGAAGAATAGAAAATGAAATAATCTTCTCCATAAGCTAAAAATAAAATATGCACAAATTAATAAAAAAAAATGAACCTATGCATCAACTAAGTTTAATTTATCCAAAAGCTAATTTCAACTTTCCTTCCTATTTTTCTCTTCCATAAGTTCTCATGGAGAAGTTTATCCAAACATACCCTAACTGTCCAAATTGGTTAAATTCACTCTTAAAACATGTCTTGAATACAATGGACTCACAAGTATCTCCGCGACCTGCCACCTGCCACCACCACCCCTTTCCCAAAAAAGAAAAAAACATGCAATGCTTGTCATTTGACAGTAATTTGTTTCTTCCTTGCAACTAAGTTTCAAAATACTTGAAATCGGAACTAGTAGACTTCAAAATTATTATGATTGCCAAATCTTGTTCACCATATTTTATTACTGAAGTACACTATTCCTTTAACTATTCAATTTTGGATAAATAGCGTAGCTCTCTTTCTTTCCTCAAAAGCCCTGTATTGCATTAATGACATATCAATAAATCTATGCATTTTTTTATAATAGGGTCATAGACATCGTTATACCTCCATCATCAACAAGTAGCTTCAACACTTGTCCAGCCACATCAGTCTGCAAGATTTCAAAAATAAAAACCAGTTAGAAGCAGTAAATATCAAGGAACCACAATTACAAAAACTGAGAGATCACCTTAACCGGAAGTCCAGTGCCAAACTGATCCAAATAACCGATGATTTGCCCTTCTTTGACTAAATCACCCTAAAATTCAAAAAGGAAATAAATAAATTGACAATCATCATAGTCAGGCCAATTAAAGTGAAGTTCCCAAGCAACTTGATGAAGTAACTGTACCAAACAAAGTATACTAATAACAATAAGTGAGTACCAAAGAATATTTATTTGGCTCTGAGACTATCACTGTTGATTATAATCAGTTTTTTTTTGTTTCTCTTTCTAAGTGTTTTTAGTAAAAGACTTTACACGTATTCCGAAAGCCAACATATGCATGTTAACAAGGTCACATAGGGAGACTAGGCTGACAAGCAAGCAGGCTGATACATAGACTCCAACTATTATGTCTGCAGTATTACGTGGGGCAGCTCACTGAAGCTGGGCCCCTAAAGCAGAAACAACCAGTTTCACCCCAGCAAATCTTATTGACCAACAAACACATGTACCAAAATTCAATGGTGGACTTTACGATGAGAAAGCTCGACGCAGTATCATGTGAATTATGTGATCTAGTTCATAACAAATTGATGAGTATTGACAAGCACGACGCACCTCTTTACAGATAGGAGGTTGTCTCTTGCCTTTCACTGTTCTACCTCTTCGGAAGAAGCCAACCTAAGGAGAAAGAAAGATCAGTGATAGCAAACTCTACATAGCTCAAGCCAAATATAACTAGTGAAGGCAGAAGTTAAACATAAATTATTGATGAATCATATACCGTGGGAGATGGCACTAAGACATAAGTGGTGGTACCAGAAGCCTCCAATGCTGCCATTCTTGGTGATTTCTCTCTGAAAGAATCTATAAATGTATTTTTCTTTTCTGGAGATGATTTTGGAGGTGATGGTGGCAGGGTACCAGGTGCTGATTCATCCATTGGTTTAGATGGAATAGGCGGAGGAGTTGTTGGTGAAATGTTAGACAAAGGAACCTTTGTTGCTCCAATGTTTCGCTTAATATGCATTTCAAAATCTCCAACCTATAACAATAATAGTCAACTAAGGTCGTGTACAAGGTCATCCAGCTAAAAGCATGCTTCTTTTGATGAACCACACAGCTATAACAGACAACGTTGTATAAAAACAGAGCTGAGATGATACAAATTTTTAATCAAATTTGAACTGCAAAAAAAGAATTATAACGAGATAGGACATTAGGCACCAAGGCACCACAATCTCAAGTTGAAATTACAACATGCTACAATTTTGATTAAAAAAAACATTAATACCATTACCTCATTTTCTATAAGCGTGATATCTTGAGTAAATTAAGAGCATTCTTAGACAGAAGTTTCAACTCACAGTATATGACAGAGCTACAGACATACCCATCCAGCGACTGATTTGAGTGTGTGAATTGCGAATAAACAAACCATATAACATTCACGGAAGTTTTCTTTCTCATCCTTGCTGNAGCACAACTAGCTATACATTGTAAATGACAATGAATTAAAGTAAACTATCAGGAACATCCCTGGGACTGATAGAAAAATTATACAAGATTCGAGATTTCCATAGTTTGGATCCTAGATTCTGATAGCTTGACAAAACATTTTCTATTTTCATTTCTTCCAATCACTAATAATTATAAGAGTGTCACATGATTTTTCACTTTATTTCTGTTTTAAGATATCTTTTCAATTATTAGAGAAAACAATAACTGAAAGCAAAAAATTGTTTTTAAACTCTAATAAGCCTAGATACTCAATACGACCCACATTCGGCGTACACAGGAAATTCCTAAAATTCAAGATACAATGCAGCTTGGATACATTAAGACAAAGACACACAACAGAGACATATATACACTCATAATATTTGTTAACAGCCATTTATTTTTTTGCACTAATTGTATATATGATCATAACAAAAACAACATAGTTAAGTATGTTTCGAATAATCATATCAGAATATAATATTTTCCCTGGAATATGCTAGAAACAGAAACATTTGTCCAACTCTATTGGCTCTCTGTGATTACCCAGTACTATTTACAGTAGATTCGACGATATATAGGAAAAGATAAAGTTCCCAGTAAGTCCGGTCAATAAATATGGAAATAAAAAATATGGAGGACATCCTTTGCATAAGTATAGTACAACATACATTCTCTTCATTTTTGGAGTATCAAGGTTTCGTCGGTCAATCTAAACAAATCAAGCCTAACATTGCCATGTTTTAGTGTGATAAAAGCATGGCAGTCATAAAGCGATTGGGCATTCATTATACTATTGTATCATACCAAAGGTGGAAACGGGTGAGATCAGATCAGTTCAGACATTTTTTGTACTTGAGCTTGACCTATATCATTATTATTATTAAGTTCAAGTTCGGCCTATTTATTCATTATAAGTCTTAGACTAGCCTGTTCAGAAGTCTGGTCTGGCCTCCAGACCTTTTTACATGACTAAACAAGTCAATAAACCTAACTAGATCATCAAGCCTAAAATTGTTCATGACAAATTATTATTTTTTATGATAATTATTTTACAAATTATACCAATATTAAATTACAAACAAATAATAGGGTCAAACTATATGGACCTGATTCACATAGATTTGTCTCTTTTATTTTACCTTATTTTAACTTCTGTAATTTTATTCTTTCTTCTCTTGTAGCATATCTATACCTATATATAACGGTATACCCCCATTTAGCAGACATATTTATGTTTCTATTTTGTCATGAATTATATTTTAAAATTTAAATATCTTAAACCTCAACTATTATTTTGTTACCTATACAACTGTAAAGAAAAAGAAAAACAGTGGAGATAAACTACTCATCCACTTTAAATAAGAAGTACACAGCACTATTACTCCACACAATACAATTATGCTTTTTTTTCCTGTCACGCAAATCAACAATATGTATTGTTTCGTCAACCTTGTTTACATTAGAATTATTAATTATACATAAAATATAAAACATAATATATAAAATTAAAATTAATATAAATAATAAAGTTTAACTAATTAAAAAAATGCAAACACACATGCACTATTGCATTTATGTTTCCGCTAGCAACTATAATATTTATATTGAATAAACTAGTCATTTTATTATTATTTAAAAGTAGAGGTGTAAATACGAACCAATGATTTTTAAAAGAAAAAAAAAACTTTTTTTTGTTGAGCTTGTTATTAATATTAATAATTATATATTTAAACAATGTGTTATATATAAAATTATTATGTAAACAGGCCAGCCTGGTAGGTTTCTTTTAAAGCCTAAAAGCTTAGGCTAGGTCTTTGACAAAGCATGTCAAAGGCCCCTTACTAGTTGCCTAGCCTATCTTCATCCCTACATATGAGTTGGACAAACTTCTCCATAAACATTTCTACAAAGAGAAGAATAGAAAATGAAATAATCTTCTCCATAAGCTAAAAATAAAATATGCACAAATTAATAAAAAAAAATGAACCTATGCATCAACTAAGTTTAATTTATCCAAAAGCTAATTTCAACTTTCCTTCCTATTTTTCTCTTCCATAAGTTCTCATGGAGAAGTTTATCCAAACATACCCTAACTGTCCAAATTGGTTAAATTCACTCTTAAAACATGTCTTGAATACAATGGACTCACAAGTATCTCCGCGACCTGCCACCTGCCACCACCACCCCTTTCCCAAAAAAGAAAAAAACATGCAATGCTTGTCATTTGACAGTAATTTGTTTCTTCCTTGCAACTAAGTTTCAAAATACTTGAAATCGGAACTAGTAGACTTCAAAATTATTATGATTGCCAAATCTTGTTCACCATATTTTATTACTGAAGTACACTATTCCTTTAACTATTCAATTTTGGATAAATAGCGTAGCTCTCTTTCTTTCCTCAAAAGCCCTGTATTGCATTAATGACATATCAATAAATCTATGCATTTTTTTATAATAGGGTCATAGACATCGTTATACCTCCATCATCAACAAGTAGCTTCAACACTTGTCCAGCCACATCAGTCTGCAAGATTTCAAAAATAAAAACCAGTTAGAAGCAGTAAATATCAAGGAACCACAATTACAAAAACTGAGAGATCACCTTAACCGGAAGTCCAGTGCCAAACTGATCCAAATAACCGATGATTTGCCCTTCTTTGACTAAATCACCCTAAAATTCAAAAAGGAAATAAATAAATTGACAATCATCATAGTCAGGCCAATTAAAGTGAAGTTCCCAAGCAACTTGATGAAGTAACTGTACCAAACAAAGTATACTAATAACAATAAGTGAGTACCAAAGAATATTTACTTGGCTCTGAGACTATCACTGTTGATTATAATCAGTTTTTTTTTGTTTCTCTTTCTAAGTGTTTTTAGTAAAAGACTTTACACGTATTCCGAAAGCCAACATATGCATGTTAACAAGGTCACATAGGGAGACTAGGCTGACAAGCAAGCAGGCTGATACATAGACTCCAACTATTATGTCTGCAGTATTACGTGGGGCAGCTCACTGAAGCTGGGCCCCTAAAGCAGAAACAACCAGTTTCACCCCAGCAAATCTTATTGACCAACAAACACATGTACCAAAATTCAATGGTGGACTTTACGATGAGAAAGCTCGACGCAGTATCATGTGAATTATGTGATCTAGTTCATAACAAATTGATGAGTATTGACAAGCACGACGCACCTCTTTACAGATAGGAGGTTGTCTCTTGCCTTTCACTGTTCTACCTCTTCGGAAGAAGCCAACCTAAGGAGAAAGAAAGATCAGTGATAGCAAACTCTACATAGCTCAAGCCAAATATAACTAGTGAAGGCAGAAGTTAAACATAAATTATTGATGAATCATATACCGTGGGAGATGGCACTAAGACATAAGTGGTGGTACCAGAAGCCTCCAATGCTGCCATTCTTGGTGATTTCTCACTGAAAGAATCTATAAATGTATTTTTCTTTTCTGGAGATGATTTTGGAGGTGATGGTGGCAGGGTACCAGGTGCTGATTCATCCATTGGTTTAGATGGAATAGGCGGAGGAGTTGTTGGTGAAATGTTAGACAAAGGAACCTTTGTTGCTCCAATGTTTCGCTTAATATGCATTTCAAAATCTCCAACCTATAACAATAATAGTCAACTAAGGACGTGTACAAGGTCATCCAGCTAAAAGCATGCTTCTTTTGATGAACCACACAGCTATAACAGACAACGTTGTATAAAAACAGAGCTGAGATGATACAAATTTTTAATCAAATTTGAACTGCAAAAAAAGAATTATAACGAGATAGGACATTAGGCACCAAGGCACCACAATCTCAAGTTGAAATTACAACATGCTACAATTTTGATTAAAAAAAACATTAATACCATTACCTCATTTTCTATAAGCGTGATATCTTGAGTAAATTAAGAGCATTCTTAGACAGAAGTTTCAACTCACAGTATATGACAGAGCTACAGACATACCCATCCAGCGACTGATTTGAGTGTGTGAATTGCGAATAAACAAACCATATAACATTCACGGAAGTTTTCTTTCTCATCCTTGCTACTAAATTTAAAATATAGCACTTCCAATTTTACAAAAGGGTAAACAAGACGGAAGATCACCTTTACTTTCAGTTCAGCGATTTCAGTCTCATCACACACCTCTAATACCAAAGCCTGATCATAAGCAAACACGACATAACGAGTGATTTTATCAGATTCACATTCAAGCAAGGAAATTAATAATGCAATTATGCAGTCTTGGATAAACGCTGGCATACTAGAGCTAATTCCCACCAAATTATCATTTTTCACCAATAAAAATATGCTTTGCTGGTAAATAAGGACAGAATAGCTATAGACCTCAAATCCATTAGGAAAAGTAGCAGCTTGCAAAGGCTTTTTCTCCAACGAGCCTTGTGGAGTACTATCTGAAGAAGCTGCAAAATCTTAAATAATTGAGAGGTCAAAGAACTTGAATATAAATAAAAAAAATGGTTGAAGAGAAGCTATTCTAATAGCCAACTATAACACAGTTATATTATATATATATATATATACTGTCTCTT